GAGTGCTTGAGAATTTACTCACATCCAAAGGCTGCTGATAGAAGAAGAGCGTAGTCCTCTAACACATACATTCTTCCAACTGCAAATCATGATCACTTTAAGTTTTCTTGTGTGTACCTATTATCAGTTCCAGGGTTTGGTTTGGGGTTTATCAGGGAGAGAATGACTGCATTTATCTTCAGGTTTGTTTGAGATGTATTCCATGCTGCAGAAGAAAGAAGTCACCTAACTGATCCACAAACTCTGTACAGATGCATGGGAGGGCTCTTGGTGTGCATGGGTTGCAGATGCTTTGCTGAAGTCATGAGAGTGGCCCAACTGCCCTCAGAGCAGCAGGTCTTGTGTAAGCACTGGCATTTCTGTGTGAGTGAGGGCTAAGGGACAGGCAATTTCACAATGGGTTTTATTGGACTGTGAATCAGTGTGGAGGAGATGGGGATGGTGTGTGGGAGAGGCGGGGGACCAGGAGTGGGGGATAAGAATGCAATATACAGACATCAAACAAACCTGTGGACTGAGGTTAGATTTACTCCGGCTTTCCCATCCAAACCTGTTCCATTGTAACTGTCTGAGGTTCCTTGTTCAAGAGTACAGTTAAGGCTTTGTAGTTTATTAACTCAGTGTGAGTGGGTGACGGTTAAGGTACCACAAAAACAGAAGGCTGGGAAAAGATGCATACACTTTTCTTTTTTTTTTTTTTAATTTGTTTTTTTTTTTTTTTTTTTTTTTTTTTTTTTTTTTTTTTTGGTCTTGTGTCTATAAGCTCACTGAAAGAGAAGCTGAATATCTCAGATCTTTTCCCTGCCCAAATAGTATTGCAACTCTCCTGCAAAGAGTTTCTGATAGCACGGCTGTCAGCAGCTGCCCAGTACACGCTTGTGTTCTTGGCACTCTGTTTCCAGGCTCCTGATGTCGAGCTCCCTGTTGCCTGTCCCTGCACCTTCATCATAACAACATTACTTGAGTACTCCTCGTTCATCACTTCTGAGATCTGTGCGTTGGCCTTTCTCCCTGTCAGTCCAAGTTAATGATATGTGATGGATCCGCAGCTGCACGGTGCCTCTCTCCCAAGTGCAGTGTTTTGTTTTAACTGTTTCTGTGTTGGTACAAAAACATGATGCGTTCTTTTTCCTTTCCCTTAATAAACCGTCACTTCAGCAGGGCTAAAAACAGCTTCTTACTGTAATAGGATATTGACTTGTGTCTTGTGTGTATCTTCTAGCATCTCGTAAAGATGCTTTTTAGATGCAATTTAAATGACATTGTATGAGAAGCTTGCTGTGTAGCAGGAGAAATAGTACTGCGTGTTCCATTTGGACTGCAGCATGCTTAAGATAAGTAGGTGATGACTGATTTTGAGACTAACAGATTCTCAGAAGTGCGTTACCAACTCACTGCATTGCCCTTTCATTGTCTTCTGGTGGCATTTATTTACAGAGGAGAGATGAGCTACCTGAAGTGCAAGTGGATCTGTTTGTTTGAATGGTTGTATGCTGCCTGCTTGACATTTGAGTAATGTTCATTTGGGATGTGATTTTATAGCACTTCATAGCGTCCTGTTCTGCATAAGCACTGCTGCTGAGAGAGCTGCTCGTGCAGCGAGATCTGCTGCAGCAGTGCTGACAGCTGAACAGCTGAGCCGTAGTTTGAACTTTGTAAAAACTGACCGTTTGAGGAGAGGAAGAAATGGCAGCCCGAAACATCCAGTAGCTGTTGCATTGATAACAGCCTTCCCAAGGGTAATTCTCTAACAGAGGTAATTAATTTAATCCCTGAAGTATTGTATATCAATTAGTCCTTAGAAGCAATATTGCCTGTGTCTCTAGGGAGCGAATGCACTGCTTGAGGTTTATAAAGGCGTATCTGTTTTTCTTATCTGTGAAATTACCCTGTGGTCCTGCCGCCTCTTATCTTCTTCCCTCACTTCTCCACCCCCACCCTTCCCACCACCCTGACTTTTTGGCATTTCCCTGCAGTGTGATGCCCACAACTGTGGACAGATGTGTGTCCCAATCCTACAGCACAGTTATTGACTTGTCCTCGCGTGTCCCAGGCTGGATGCCTTGGTGCAACCACGACCCTTATCCTCTGCTGCAGACCTGTGTCCCAGGGCAGGACCTCGTATTTACATGCTCTTTTGTTACTGACCGCATTCAAATGATTTAAAAACCTGAACTTCAGTGGAAACAAAATGCTGATGAGTCTCGTGCTAACGACTCACTGGAACTGGCTGTGCCTTCCCAAACCCAGACTGGCTGCAAGCACTCCCAAAATGCTCTTTTGCTGCATGTTCACCGCTGCTGGCCGTGCTGCTGGCTGGGACTCTGCCCAGCTGCAGTGTGAACTTTGGGCACCAGGCTATTTCAATGCATTCAACTTGTGTTTGATTAGCTAATCTTTCAGTCATGCACCACAGCTCCCTCTGAATCTCGTAAGAAAATAGAAACAATTGCTAACTTTTGGGGCATTTCAGTAGTGGGAACAGCTACGGTCTTTTGGGAATAGCTGCTTTTGTCTTTTCATTTTGTTAATGGGTATTACTCCCATCTTCTTACCAAACTAAAAGACCTTTCCTTCTGTCCTGGCACGAGATGCAATGAGAAAAAAACCTCCAGCAGCAGCTGAAACACCGAGAGGTAACAATTGCAATTATTCCGACAGCAACTTCCATGTTTGCGGTAAAGCAGTCCACCCTGTAGCTGTGAGTGGCTTCTGAGAACCTCTGCTTTGAGAAATCCCTCTCCTCTTTTTTTTTTTCTTATGTTTTCTTTTTCTTTTCTTTCCCCCCCCCCCCCTGTGCAGGTGGGTGCAGTTCAGAAAAAATACCCGCTTTTGTTTGGGGAGGTGGAGGACAGGGCTCCAAGTTCTGCTCCCCTTGGGCAAGCTTTGTCTTCCCATCTGCTTCATACTAGAGCATTTACCTGGCACCTTGCACAGGCATTATGTGCCCAAAAATGCAGTGCAGGAGGAGCTGGAGCTCAGCAACCTTCCCCCAGCCTCACAAACGCTTCAGTACTGCGTGGCTGTTTCAGGGCCCAGAGGGGTAGAATAGTGACAATGCTCGCGCACGTGTGTGTGTGTGTGTGTGTGTGTGTGTGAGGAATGCAAAAATTCACAGCTTCTGGGAAGTGGGTGGAGTTCCTGTGTAACTGAGTGACTTTTTTCATCTCCTCTGAGTCCTGGGTTTTGATGTGGGATGCAGCCAGTGTTAGTGCCTGTACTCCTTCTGAAGTCTAGCCTAGTGATCTTGGCTACTGATATCTTGCATCCAGGGGATGCTCTTTCTTCTTTTTGTTTTTTAATTGATGATACTTTAAGAAAAATCTTTTTTCTCTTCACCCAAGATGTATCCTGCTGCTGCCAGAAGTTTAAATGGATCCATTATTATGAAGTCCTTAGGCTAGGTAAAAACCCAAGGGGAAATGCCATGCGAATGAAAAAACACAACCCCAAAGATATTAAAAAAGATAATCTAGTTGTGAGGGGGTGTGAGAAAGAGACAAGAATTTTAATATTTGTCTCCTGAACTCCAGGATGTTCTCACTTTATCGTGGAAAAGCTTGAGGTTTCTATCACTTAGGATCACACATAAAATAGCTGTTAGGCCAAGACAAGAGTCAAAATGCTTTTTAGCACCTGCAGCTGGACCACTCCCAAGAAAATCTGTGCTTGATGCTTTATGATGTTGATGAGTCTTGCCAGCCTCATTGCTGGCGGGCAGAAGAATGGCATGGTTGGTTGGATCCCTTTAGCTAATCTGGTTCTTCTGCAGTTTGATGAGTTTTCAGGTGAAATATGGAACTTTCTCTTCTTTTCATGAAAGGTTTTGCACACCTGTGGAATACCCATAGAAGTTCTTTCTGTGAATTGGGACTTTATGGTATTGCAGTGCTTTGCTATTGTTCTCTCTCTTCCTGGGAAACTTTGCTTTTGGGGAGTTGAGCTGGGGATTAAAGCTGCTATTTTAACATACGTATTTAACATATAAATATAACATACACATTCCACTAGTATCAGAATGCATCTTTGTAGACAGTAAACAAAGGACTGTGCTGATGCAACAGGGGAGGAATATAAATGAAAAAAGTTGTTGGTTCTGTACCCTCCCTCCCCCCTCCCAGATATTAGAAATTGATCTCTCAAAGCAGCAGCTTAAGCAAATTGTTTATTACTTAAAAATGTTTGCAGCTCGTATAAGATATTCTGTCTTACTTCATAGTCAAAAGAAAAGACTGTGACATTGCTTGCAAGAATCTGTCATAAAGTATTTCTAATGCAGATGGTTCTTCCCTGGCTGCGTTTTCCCCTTCAAAAAAGCCACAACTCCTTCCCTTTATTCCTTTCCATAGACTAAATGTTACAACCACTGATCCCTGTGTACCTCAGGCTCTGGAAACAGAATTCTTAGAGCTAGCGCTGTGGTGAGGGACTATTCAAATCAGTATTTCTAAAAACAGTAGTTTGCCAGTCAGCCCACAGATGACAGCACTCAGACATGCCTGCTGAGTGATGAATTCTTTCCATTTGCTGGGAGGTACCCAAAAGCAGTTTTGTCTGTATTCTTCCTTAATGTATAGGAACGAGTCACATGAGTGGATGGACCAAGGAAAACATAATTAATGAAGATGCTTTAGACTGAATGGGATTTCTTTTTTTTTTTTTTTTTTTTTAGGCAAGCCGTTACCTTTAATCTTGTAGAAGAAATGCAGCAATGCTGCATGGTACCAGCAAAGGAAGATGCTATGCACTGTAGTGGGGCACTGTAATTACAATGTCATTCTAGCTCGTTAAGGGTAACTGCAGTCTTTAGAACCGTTAAACCCAGAGGGAGGTTACCAGTGTGGGAAGAGCTGTTCTGCAGAGAGTGTGCTGGATCGTAAGGCCAGGAGGAGTGCTGAGGTTGCTGACACAGTTCAGTGAACCGTTCCCTTGCACTTAGTGATGGCTTCTGCTCGTGGCAGGTAAAACAAGCTGAAATGCTGAATGGATGGTGTTTGTCAGCTGAAAAAGGAATTGGCATTGATCTCTGACCTGGTGGTGAACCGAACCCGTGCTTCCGCCACGTCTGAGAGACAGGTTTATAACGCCCTGTGATGGAATGTGCTGGGGATATTTTCCTACCTAAGGTAACATCGTCTACTTAAAGCATAAAACACAGTTGTGTTAGTTTGTGAAGGGGCTCTGACATCGGGCCCAGATTTCATACTCAGTAATTGCATTCTTACCTTTGTAACTGTTGTTGAACACAGCATTTTCTCTGCTCCATTTCTATCCTGTGTCTTTGACAGAACATGCTAGCACCATGAGGTAGCTGCTGTGCGTATGTGGGTTTTACTACCATAGCTGAGACATTTTCAAGGCTGGTGGCGGGCCAGAAAAAAATTGTGTGTGTAGAACTCAGGCTTGTTATCTTCTCAGTCACGTTAATGTGCTGGAGCAAGCATCCTCCCACTGCTCTGATAGATACACTGACAACTTTTGAAAGCTACAAAACTGGAAGTGTTGTGGTCGAAGGATGCCTCTGGAGGCCAGCAGTATGTTTGTACAGCACCTGGCACAGCTGGCTTGAATAAGGGGATCATCAATAAGCTTGGCATTAAGCTCATTTCATGGGTGACTTCCCTCAGCTGCTGGGATAGGTGCCCTTGGTTTGCTTCATTCCTGACCTGTTAGCGCTTCAGAGCTGCTCCATGGGCTCTTAAAAGCGCGTATTTTTTGCAACCACTCTCAAAATGTCTGTGAACAAATACTTAAAGTATATCCTGAAAATATTTTCATTTCTTTTTAGATTAAGTTTGGAGACTGCAATTTATTTTTCCTTCTTAACGAATGTAGATAATGAATGTCTGGCTGTGGACAAAACTTTTGTGTCATGACTAAATAATGATGTCCAGGAAAAGTAATCACAGGTGGATTAGGTAAGCCACAAAAAAAAAAAAATCCAACTCAACACTATATAGAAGCTGTTGTCCACAGCTGAAATCACCTTATTTTACTACTGCAGATGCTAATGGACCCAGTTAATTTAATTCATTTCCAGAGGGAATGCAAACTAAATATAAAGTCATGCTTGTTTAGAGAAGTGTGCACACAGGTTTTAAATAATCTTCAGTCTTTGTTGATGAACTTTTCTGAGCAGAGAAATGTTTACCGTAGTATCTGCAAGGTAAGACTGTAGCTTGTGTGAGATAGGAGCATTTATATTATTAATGTAGGAAGCTGCATATATGGGCAGTGCACTATTAAAACAGGCACTATCATCCACTGTGCTATGTGCTTGCCCTTGGCATAGGCTGGGTTGTCTGTGAGAGGGACAGTCAAGAGAGGAGCTCATCTGTCAGACACAGAGCTACATCTCAGAAGCCTGGGCAGGAGCAGCTCCCTGACACTTAACCTTAGTGGCCAGGCTGCCTGTTTCACCCTTTTATTCCCTGTTGCACACAGATCTAATAGGAATTGTACCTCTGTCCAAACCATACCTCAATCCTCCTTGCCTCGTTTAGTTTGTATTTAGAACCACAAGAAATGAATGGAATCTAAATGTGTTCAACCAAACACCAAAAATACCTTTTCCGCTCTTGCTGACTCCCCTCAGGGCCTTTCTGTTTGAAGGGGCAGCTGGTGCAGAACAAGAGAGACTGATTTGCAGCCTTCACCTTTCTGTGAAAGGCACCTGTCCTACAGCAGTGCACACCTTACAGAGGGGTACCCCAGGAGATGTTTGCTATGCTTCCAGTCCCTCTGCCCAGCCTGACTCCTCTACAAATCCCTAGAAAACAAAACCAAACACATTGAGAAGAAATTCTGTCACAGCTTATTGGTGTGAGGTGTGTTTTCCTCTTCTCCACCCACATGGTAGGGTTTTGGGTTTGCAGAATTTTGGTTGCTTGTCCTTCAGGAGCAGTATGTGCCAAGGAGACTGTCCCATTCGGTAACTGATGTGTTTTTCCTTCACCCTGGTGTCAGCCCAGCTCAGCAGAAGTTGGTTTCCTCTGCTTACTTGGATCAAAACAGTCTGGGAGGTGCACATGCGCACCTGAAGTGGCAGCTGGGCATCATCTTGTGAGAAAACAGTGTCAAGGAGACAGGAGCAAACACAGATGTAGCTAAGGACAACATCCTGATGAGGACATACGCTGCTTTCAGATTCTGCTAGGAGGGAAGAACGTAAACCCTCTATTTCCAGAGAACCCTTAAAATAACAAGAGAATAGCCATGCCTGGCCTTTCCACCTGCTACAGCCTCCCATCTCTCATGTGCCTTTGCTCTCACCTCCTCACTGATGTGAGCAGCCACAGAGAGGGCACTGGGCAGTGTGGCTTGGTGCTCATACTGCTGGCTTTTTCTGGAGCACTTTACCTGTGCTGGTGACTAGGAGGAGCCCTGGCAGCAATCAAATAACAAGAGGAGAGCAAGCTGTGAGAGGTACCTACAGCTGCTGGTTAGATCTCCACTGCCCTGTCCTCCAAAGGGACAGCAGTGTTTCAGTGTCTGTCATTTCTCTTACCCCAGTAAGAAGCTTCAGGCTTTGTTTGTTTGTCCCAAATGTCTCCAACAATCAATAGATTGAAAGGTCCCTCTCCAGTCTCTCAGTAAATTGTAACGGGTAGTTTTATTAAAAACAGGGCACTGCCCCAGTTCCCTCCATTTTGCTTTGGTACAAGTGGAGAGTGTGGTTGAGAGCGTGACCCAACAAGTATTATTTTGGAAGCCTCACCTACTGCATGGGATTAGAGGTAGTGCCTACTCCCTTACACTTCATGTGAGGGCAATTAGTGCACGTGCATGGCAATTAGTGCTGCAAATGAAGTCAACACTGGTGTATTCTGCCTCTTTAATGGCTTGCTTTCCTCTGCCAACAGAGCAACCAGGCAGTCTCAAAGGAACCTGCTGCGTTCTGATACTTAATTTGCTTCAGGCTTACCTTGGCATCTGCCTCTTTCTTCTGCTGCCCAGCCTGGCCCACCTGCCTGTTTCTTCTACCTGCGCTGCAGAGAAACACTGCACACTTCTAGAAAATCAGGCCATGACTTGCACAGCATGCTGAAGTTTCTCCAGCACTGTCTCTCCATGCTGTGCTTTATCTTTCTCCATTTCTGACCTGTTCTCTGCAGAACGTTGGGGTGATTTCTGATGAACTGGAAGTGGCATCGCCTGGCAGGCAGGCACGCATGTGGGAAGCTGCAGATCCATTCTTCTCTTATTCATTGAGATGCTGTGTTGACGAGGACCTTACGTTACCTGTGGTACACAGCATGACCATATGTGACTGTCTGGAGTGCATGTATTCTGCAGTATTGTCAGAGTGCGTATGAACTCCTTATGTAAAGAGGTGCATCATTCATGTCTAAACTGGAACATTCACTGTTCCAAAGGATTTTTAAAACAAGCGGATGGGAAAGGTATTGGAAAGCAGATGTGCAGCAGAGGACTCCCAGCTAGAGAAAAAGCTAGGGGTTAAAACACCAGGAGAGATCTCTGGAGACACTGACAGGAGGAGGGGGGTGTGGAAGGTGCAGGAGGAGTGCGTTAATCTGTTTTGTTGGTGGACCAATTTGTATGGCTTCCCTTATTGCAGCAGAGCACCTTACAACGTGGACCACCAGGTTTGTTTTTTGAGTGCCTGACATGCACTGTCTGCGCAGTGACCCTTTGTATGCCTGTTAGTAGGAAGCTGGTAATTTATGAAACGCTTTTGAGGTGGAAATGTCTTTGAGGTGATTTTTGTGATGGGGCATGATTGCTCTGGGCAGGAGTATGGAGTAACCAGCTTTACTCTGAATGGATGTGGTAGGCAAGAAGTTCAGCACTGCTTCCTTTCAAGAGAAAAATTACCTTAGAGGACTTCTCCCCTGCAGATGGCTCAGGGCAAATGTTGGTACTTGGGAGCATTCTCTTGTGCTCCACTGATCTTGGAGACAGCTCAACTGTAGGCTAGTTTTTCCCTTGTTCTAAGCAGAATTTGCTTGCACAGCGCAACAAGCAGGCTGGTGCTTTCTAGGTAGTGTGGATGAAGTGCTGTTTTGCTGAGGAAGTAGGGAGGTTTTTATTTAGCTAGTGTTAGTATGCAGGTGTTTCCTAACAATTTTGTCCTGAGAATTTACACCATTTTTTTTGCTGGCAGTTTCTCAAATAGAAGCATGCATCAAGCTGTGATTTTGTGCCATCAGCATCACTGGTCATGGTGATTAAAGGTTGAGGAGTTCACAAGGGTATGCCTTCAGTGCAGGCTCCAAAATCCTGACAAGCAGCTGCCAGGGCTTCTGGCAACTTTTGTGAGGAAAGGGAACTGGCAGACAGAAACTGTATGGAGGCAGGACTGCACGTCCCTGCTCTATGAAGTGGTGAACATATGAAACAGACCGTCGTTTAGGAGGTCTTGGGGGTGGAATATTAACAGCAGTGAAAACAATGCTGCAGGAGCACATGCATCCACCCTGGCACTTTGCATGCGTGTCGTCATGGAATTTCCAAAGAGGGCCCTAAACAAAACAGCATTATAGAGGAACAATAAAGCATTGTCAGCAGCAGCCAAGGAAGCTGGGCTGGCACCTCTTTCCATAACTGGGACCTAAACTGGTTCTTGTTCGCAGAGCTTCTGGAGTTGTGGCATGCACAGCTGTATGTTAACTTCTGACTTAAATGGTTTTATGAAGTTGCTATAGAAAATGGTGATGGGGCTTTGTTGGGCTACACTAGCTTGAGATCAGTGCTTGCACTTGGAATTTGTTAAACGTTGATGGTTTAAGGAAAATTAGCCTTTTTTTTTTTTTTTTTTTTTTTTTTTTTTTTTCCAGATCAGTGTAACTTGCCCAGAAGGGAAAAGTGCATGGATCAGAGAAATTCTGTTTGAACAACTGTGTTCATTAGAGTTTGTTTCATTGCTTTGAGTTTGGGAGGTTGTATTTCATCCCTGTTTCATGACTGTGTGTCTGATTTGAGGCTTTGCTGAGGTTTGCAGAACTCCTCTGAAAGCAGGGGTGCTCGAGGTACGTGACGAGCATTGACCTGGTCCTCATGGATGAGCATCTGAATCATTGTGAGGACAAGTGAATATAGGTTTTCATATATGTGAAGCATCTAATGCTTGTCACAGTGAACCTATGGAACACCTTGCCTTTCCAGT